TCCAGAGGTCGATTCGGGGGAGATCGCGGGGGATCGCAGTTCCCCCGGGTGAGGTGCGGGGGGCACACGATGAAGCCCCACCCCCTGCTTCCGGCCGCACCGCTTCCAGCCCTCAGTCAGCCAGGAGGAGGCAGGAGAAGAAGGAGGGTAAGTTGCTTCCTCCCTGCCTCTCCCCACCCCTGCCTGCCTGGGGCCAGGGAGGGCCTTGGCGGGGCTTCCTCACACTCCCGCCGGCCTTGCAGGTCCACCGCCAGGCCCCCAACACTTCCGGTGATGTCAGGGGGTGTGGCATATGCTAATGAGTTATGCTAATGAGTTCCCCTAGCGCTTTTTCTATGAAACGACCCCTGGCAAACTCCCATCAATGAAGAGTCAGAATAGAATTATGTTATCCTATGAACTGTTTGGGTCCATGATACCTCAAAGACCACCATTTACCCAAGTAAACCTACTTTTAAATTTCGGTCATCAAGAGAAATGTTGTTCTGGTTCCCGCTACCACTGGAGGTGTAGCAACTGTTTACAGGGGACACGGGCTTGTGGGAGGCAGCACTGAAGTTGTGGAACTTATTCCCTAGACATGTCTATTTAGCATCATCCCTGTTAGTCTTACATATCAAATCAAGACAACTTTATTTCAGAGGGTTTGGGGGAATAATTGGATTTATTTGTTTAATTAACTGAGCAGATTGAAATGACTAAATTGAATCTAACCAGATTAATTAAGCATATTGAAAAGATTAAAACTGATTCTAATAATCTTTTCTCCTTTTTTCTGCAAGTGGTTTTTGTTTGGTGTGTCTTTTTTTTTGGCTGTGTTTATTGCTTTGGATTATGGGTGCAAGTTCTGTCTGGACATTGCGCTGAAGTAGGAGAAGCAAAGGAAGGTGAGTCACTTGCCACTTTTATATCAAGTCCAACTGCATTTTGGTAGATATGTGGAACAATGGTTTAAGACAAAGCCTTCTCAGAAGAGATAGGTTTTGAGAATGGAGCTTAACTTCCATCACAGCCTGACTCTTTATCTAAGGGTACGGATTTAAAAAGACCAATATATACATATTTATCCATACACTGTTATTTCCCATTCCAGACTGCCCAATCCCCCAGCCTGAAGCTGCTCATGCCTCATATGAGAGCTGCAGACTGCAGTAGGAGTCTCCTAGGTTTCAGATCAGATATTCTGAGTAACTAGACAGACAAGACACACTCCAAAACCAGCTTGGGTTGACAGCTGCAATGCTGCAGCTCAGTGGTATTGCATTTGTCAGAATCCGCTGGCAATATTATTCTGTGTCTTTAGAGAAGAAAATACTCCTGAGCATGTGCAGAAAAGCCCAATTCTGATCACTGAGGATCAAGTAGCACTTTATTTCAGCCATGTGAAAACTGTTAGGGAATGCTTCACCATACTGGTGATTCCATGGGGAGCTGAATGAGGATGTTTAATGTACAGAAGACTGTCTCATATTGTTCCTGTTAGAAGCAGAATGTTGGATACAAAGGACCTTCCACGAGGCAATTCTTAAAGCTCATGTCACAAAAAGTGTTAATATTTTAGGAGTCTTAGAACTCATTTTATACCCAGAAAACTAATAACAACTAACATTCTGGAGAACCTCGCAGGCTGGAAGAGGGAGCAGACGTAGTAGGACCCATGACGGAGGGAGGGCAGGCATGGGCCTGAACGGCAGGGGAAACCCCTTCAAGGGGGACCCCTTCCAGGACCCTGCAATCACGCAGCACAGACCGACCACCGAGCATGCCACCCTGAATGTCTACAATCCCTTTGAAAACCCAGGGCAGCGCCCCCTGCCTCCGTTTAACCCCGGACCCTCAGGTCCCCCAGCCCAGCCAGCTCCTGCCTCACAACCCCCCAAGAAGACAAGCCCCACAGAGCCCAGGAATCATGGCTCTTATGGAACCCAGGAGTCCGCCGCAGCAGCCACTGCCGAACTGCTGAAATGCCGGGAGGAACTGAACCGCAAAGCAGAAGAACTGGACCAGAGAGAACGTGAGCTGCAGAACGCAGCTATCAGCGGCGGTGCAGCCAGACAGAACTAACATTCTGGAGCACTGACCATAGGCAGCCATCTAAAATCTCACTGACTTCAGTGGATTTAAGATGCTTACCTGTGCACAGAACTCAGCCCTTGACATACCCATGGGATTAATTTTAATTACCGGTCGCTATCTCATAAGGGACTCTAAAAGAAAATAAGAAATAAGCTGGGGACTGTGCAGCTGGCGTTTGGTCAACAGTTGGCACTCAAGAGGCCTGCTCAGCTGACACTTCTTTGTCAAACAGAGACCTCCCCCCTTGAACACTTGTGCCACCCTAGCAACTGTGGAAACAGCCACAGAAACAAGAAGATTAAAATACCCCCTGAAGGAGATGAACTGAAGCAGGAACGAGCATCAGTGGAGGTTTGCAGCCTCCGACAACTATAATTATCCAGACACTAGATGAAGGCAGGAACTCCCACTAAGGGCCCGCGAGAATGTTGTGATGCGGCTGTAGGACAGATTCCTGGGCAAAACAGAGCTCTGCTCTTAATTCAGCAGCTGCTAGAAGCACAGAAGTATATTTAGAAAGGGAGGGCTGAACACACTCAGCTTCTAAGAGACAGCTAATGAACCCCTGCTGTGTGGGGGGGGAGAGCCCCTCCGTAGGGACAGATTTACAATGCAATTGCCACACATATTGTGGACATTCCTTCTCTTTTGCATAGTATGTTAGGGCTGGTTTCTTGTTTTCATTTTTTTTAACTTATGTGAACTTGCTGCTTGTACATTCTGTAGTATGTGTAGATATACAGCTACAAATGGGAGCCCACAAGGACTTGTGGGATGTATCTCATTTCTCTCTCCCCTACTATTTCTTCTTTCCCTTTCTTGACAACCCTCATAGACTCTCCCCTTTTCCTGCCTCCTACTCTCTTTCCGATCCACCAGCAAACACACCTTTATCTCCTCCCCAACTTCAGTTTTTTGCACATCCCTACCCCTGGCACTCTCTACTTGGGGAAACTACGGCACATTTGTGCAGTGCTTGTTGCCAGGGCAGGCCCAGTTGTACAGTGAGGAACCTGCAAGGACTTGCAAAGGGCACCCCATTTTCTCCGGTCTCACCTTCCCCATACAACTGCCATTCATCCATATGACAACCCACATATCCTCACCCTTCTCTACTTCCTTCTCTCCTTGTCACCCACCCACCTACCTAACTTTTACCTGCACCCCATCTTCAACTGGGGAACCAAAGTAGCTTATGTCATTCTCCTGTCCGCCATATTATTCTCAGAACCCTGTGAGCAGGAGCAGAGGCGCCAGCAAGAGAGGAAGAGGCAGTCTGCCTGCCCCTGCTCCACCAACCCAAAGGGAGGAGGGGAGGAGGGAGGAAGAATCAGCCTACACAACCAGTTGGCCAGGCACAGCCTCCCTCACCTCATGCAGGGTGCAGCTAGGCTGACTGTATTCCTCCATTGCTCCATACGGGGCTCAGCCAGACCTAGGGTTGCCAAGTGTGAATTCAGCCGCAGCGGGGGACTCCCGGCTGGCGGCTGGAGCATGCGTGCGCCGCATCCACGTCACCCGGAAGTGACTTGGGCACGCTGGGCACGCTGGGGGTGGGGCCACGACCATCCAAGGGAAAACCATAGAGTTTTCCCTCGGATGACCGTGGCCCCGCCCCCAGCGTGCCCGGCGTGCCCACATCACTTCCGGGCGACGTGCACATTGGGATGGAGTTCCCCTGGGGCCCGATCCGCCGGCGGTGGGGAACGGGCCTCTGGGGCGGGGGTTTCCCCGCCCCCCGGGGGGACTTGGCAAGCCTAGCCAGACCAGGAGCCTCCCTCCTTCCCTCCTCTCATGTGGAGCTCAGCACCTCCCTCTGTGCCCTGCCTTGTGTGGATCTGAGCACAGTGAAGCACCGCCACCACCTGTCTTGCACAGGCCTCAGCTGAGCCAGACAGAGCACCACTGTCTGCTTAACCTTCTTGGGGCTAAGCTAGGCCAAGCACCACCCTCACTGCACCTGGGGCCTCATCACATGAGGGCCTGGCCGAGCCAGATGCTCCTGTCTGCCTCGCCTTGCACAGGGGTGAGCTGGGCAGAGTTGGATGCCTTGTCTGCCTTGCCTCACATGGGGCCAAGCAGTGCCATTTGACTCCCCTTGCTCAGGGCCAAGCCAGGCTGAGCAGAGCACTACCATCTGAATTGCCTTGTGCTGGGCAAGACTGGATTACATCTACTTTGCTTCACACAGGCTCTCCTTTTATCATTTTGGAGGGTTTTTTTAAAGCTTTATTTATTTATTTATTTATTACCCCACCCTTCCCTGCACACAGGGCTCAGGGTGGCTCACCACAATTAAAAGCACAAAATTTAACAATTAAAAACACAAAATTAAAAACAAAAAAAATTTTTTTGAAAGATCTGTCTTGGTACTTTCATGGGTCCAGTCTCCAGATTTAAGTACCCTCAGATTTTGTCAAGTTTGCTATTAGAGTTGACAATTATGATGATCGTACACACACAGGGAAACATAAAAGCAGGTGTGCATGTTTTAAATCCTTTTTTAAAAAACTCTACTTTTTTTTCTTTTTCTGCCAAAAAATGGTGAGAGAACCATAGTATCTTACTGACCATAATATGTTACTGGTGCATACCATTTGGCTTGGTGAGTCACACTTTATGCAGACCTGGATTCTGAGAAGGGGCCTAGGCCTCTGAAACTTTCTTTAGCATAAAGGCTTAGCCTTGTAACATAAAATATAATAATTGAGTGCATTTGAACATGCACAAAGTGCTTTTTTCATCACAACTGTGTAGCTCTGACCAGTCCCCAGATACCTGGGACTATGGTAATAAAGGCCTTCAAGTCAAAGGGATAAGGTGGCTGACATTTCACAGTTTAGATCGCTAATAGCTATTTTTAATTTACTCTTTCCAAACCTCTGAATATTCTCACTAAGAAAAGTTGTGATGCCACTTGATACCTGAAGATTCCAGTCAGCTCAATAGGATCCAGGTGTCTCCTAAAAAGACCAAGAAAGCAAAATCTGCTGTGGGATATATTACTTCACTTCATACTCATGTGTGCTACCTTTAATACAATGGTCGATACTTAAGCCACTTCGAGTGTACGTGCAGACTGAAGCAAAGAACTCAAAGGTGATAGGGGAGGGGCGGAACACTGTCTGTCAGGGAAAGCTTTTCCCACCCTTATTGCTCTTCTCTCTGACAGACCCTGCTAAGCTTCCAAAGGACCCCAGGCATATTCAAAATATGGTTTGAAAAATTTAGAGGCCAACATAGAGTTTCTGGTGATTCCTAGAGCAACATGATGTCACTTCCGGGTTTCCCCTAGAAATGACATCACATCACACACAACAACAGCGATTGTATAGCTTAGGGGTCTCTTTCCAACAGTTAAATTTAAGACTTAAAAGTTATATTAGCATATCTGACTAAGTTCATAAAATTGTTAGCGTTTTAAGGGATGGCATTGTATGCAAGCTAATTTGATGATCTCCTCTCTTGGGTTTTTAGTTAGTAGTGGTTATCTTTTCTTTCTCCTTAAATGTAGTTCCCCTCCCTTGTTTTCATTGTAGTTTGTAGTCCTTATATAAAATGCAATTTAAAAAATCCAATAAATGCAATAAAAAAATAAAAAATAGCTATTTTATTTTTATCTCTCAACCCACAGGAGTGGTGGTGGGAAGCGCAAACTGGTGGCGGAAGGTTTCTCCTGCCATGGGAGGAGACTTGGCAACCCTAATTCTGACCCAGATCTCAGCATGATAATACTCACGATTTGTCTCTTCTGCATGCTCGCCTCTGAGGGCTAGCTTGTCTCCTTCGAGGTGACAGGGACTTCCCTCGTGATCTCTGCTTGACTGGAGAATGGGCACTTGCGGGTTTCAAAATCTGGAAGGAAAGAAAATAAGTTAGCTAAGTTAAAAAAAATCCTTCATGATGTTGCTTTTTCCCTCCAGATGACAAATACACCTCTTAGTATTAATTATAATACATTCTGAAATTCTTTTATTTCATAAACCACATATTGATTTAGTATAATTAAAGGCTTGCTTATATGCTTGTTATTGATTTTTCTACTAAAGGACCATTTGTGAAATGTTGATTATCTATATCTATTTTTTATTTATTTTTTAAATGAGTGTTGTGAGAACACCACAAAACTGACAGACATTTCTGTGCTTAATCAGGAACCATTTATTTACCTCCCCAAAGACCCCAATCTAGAAGATTCAGGACAAATTTAAGAATGTGCAAATAAATAACAAAATATTCATGTATTTCCAAAAGGGTTGCCAGATCCCCCCGGCAACCAGTGGGGGGCAGGGAGGACCTTCAGGTGGCATGTGAGGCTCAGGCTGGCAATGCAGCAATGTTGCCAGCAACATGGTGACTTCACTTCTGGAGTGCCCCTTATGTGATGTCAGCCCATTCCCAGTGACACCAGGGATGCTCTGATATTTCAGCAAAACTCTATGGTAAAATCATAGCTTTACGGTAGAAAAAGCCCACCAGGACTTCATTAGGATAATAGGCCACACCCAACACCAGAAACTCATTAGCATATTAGGCCACACCCCTGACAGCACAGCTCATTAGCACATTAGGATGCACCCCCATGTTACAGAAGTGTGGTCATCTAGCCACACCCACCTTTTGCTTCTTATTCTGTTTACCTTGTTTGTTGTCAAAACCCAGGACCTTTTTTTGTTGCAGGAACTCCTTTGCATGTTAGGCCACACACCCCTAATGTTGCCAATCCTAATGAGTTTCTGCTGTTGGGTGTGGCCTATTATGCTAATGAGTTCCTGCTGGGCGTGGCCAACTCGGGAGCCAGCCAGAACTCTGTTCCTGTACGTTCCTGCCCCAAAATAGCCCTGGCTTTACCCAAGTACCAGAGTATTCCCCATGTAGCTGATGTGCTGATGTCACTTCCGGGAGCACAGGGAATTATGTCAGTGCGTCAGGATGCACCCCATTTTTGCACCATTTTACCCCCATTGGCCAGCTGATTGGTGGCGGAGGGGTGATGGCTAGGGGCAGTGAAACCCCCTCCCCTGGCAGGAGGTTGGTAGCCCTAAGCTGTGTCTTTGGATCTAGCTCTTCCTGAGTCCTTGATATAAAAGAGCATCTGTCTGCACTGACTGAAAAGCAGCATCTTGCTATATCATAGTGCTGTAAAGCTGTCATAAAGCATATTGTGGGAGAATGCAGTAAGAGGAAACAGCATCAACTGGTCTCTGCATGTATACAGTTTGTAGTAGCATCATTTCAATGATGCACCCTCAGATTTCCAGGACTAGAGTTCAGAGGGTGTTGTGTACCGACCCAACCATGTGCGCGATCCGGTTGCAGCCGGTCCGCACATGGTCATGCGAAGAGCCTGAGCTTCGCTCCACCAGAACAATAGACGGTCGGATCCTAGTTCCCCTTCCAATCGGGGGACTAGGATCCTAGAGTTAACTCTATCAATGCAAATAGACCTATCACTGGTGTTGGGGTGTGGTTTTGCTTCAGGATATAAGCCGGCCTGCGAGCCGGCTTCTGTGTCTTGTTCCTGAGCTACAAATAAAGTTATGAGCTGATTCACTAATTCCTGCATCAGACCCAATACTTTACAGAGGGTTTAATATTACTAAATTTTCCCTGACCAGTGCTGTCCAAGAAAAGTGGAGTCTTATGTGGAATTGTCAACTCCAGCTGGCAACCAGCCAGGAAGATTGGGGGGGGGGGGAGAAGCACACCAATGTCACGCCAATGTGCAATGTTACTTCCAGCAAAAAACAGAAGTTATGTCATGAGATTCTGTGGGATGAGTCTAGACATTGCCCACAACTCTATGAGGGAATCACCAGCCCCTAGTCTTGAGGCATTTTTGCAGTATTTACTATAGTTACAAATAGTGCACCAGTGAAGGCAAAGAGGCATTCCTACCAGATAGCAGATCCACTACCTTATAGCAGATGCACAGAGAGAGAGAGAGAGATCCTGCACCTTCAAGGTGGCTTCAAGCCTATTCATAGATTGGTCACCTGCTCTGTCTGTTCCAAGCTCATACCTGCCGTTTCTTCACACACATACATATAAGCACACCTGTCCCCTTCCTCCCAGCTGGGAAAGGTAACTTTCCTTAAACTCTGTCAAGCCACTGGGAAATCACCTCCGTCCAACTAGCCTCCAGTCATTTAAGAATGTTATTCCGTTGTCACAGGCCATCATTTTCATTCATCCAAGCGCAGCAGCAACAACCTCCTCACACCGTATATGTAAAAGGATATGGCTCCCAAGGCTTGAAAATAAATCCCACTGAGTTCAATAATGGGATTTGCTTTCTAGTAAATGCACTAGTAAATGGAGCATGAGGGACAGCTGGAGAGAGGCTCCCGCCTGCCCCCCCCCCCGCCCTCACCATGACTGCACTGAGCAGCAGGAGTTCCATTCAGGACAGTGGAGGGAGATGATTGCTTAGAGTTTCTTCATCATTTTAAAGCTCCCCACATCAGCCCTGAAAGTCCATAAGGAGTAGGCCCATATTATTCTTCCCATATTGCAGATGGGGAACTGAGGCTGAGAGAGAGAGTGGCTTGCCTAAAGCCACCTAGTAAGTTTGTGGCTGAGATGAGATTTGAATCAGCAGCCTCTTTGATCACAGCCGATGCTCTTGGCCCCTGTGCTATAGCAACTCCCAATTATGATGATGACAACGACCGCAGTACTTAGATAGATCCACATAGAAGAAGGCAATTGTTGGGATAGACCACGTTCATCACATTGTTAGGCTTTAAAATCACAACCAGTGCTTTGAACTGGCCCTGAAAACTAAGTAGAGTTGGCAGCCTCCAGGTGGGGCTTGGGAGTTCTCTGGGAATTACAACTGATCTCCAGGCTACATTGATCAGTTTCCTTGGAGGAAAGGGCAGCTGAGGAGGGTGGACTCTACGCCATCGCAACCCTGCTGAGTTCCCCCATCCCCAACCCCACTCTCCCCAGGCACCATCCCAAAATCTCTAGGAATTTCCCAAGCTGGACCTGTCAACCCCAGGAGTCATTTCCTGCAGGAGCGCACAGAAGCGGAGCTCCGGCAGTAAAGAGCCCAGGGGGCGGTCACATGCAACAAGCCCCACCCCCTGCTCCCAGCAGCCCTCAGTCAGAGCAAGAAGCAGCCAGGTAAGCTGCAGAGCCCCCCCCCCGGCCCCCGGTCCAAAACAGTCCAGTGGCACCTTTAAGACCAAGTTTTATTCAGGTACAAGCTCTCCCTCCTCTGTGAGGACAGATCTGCACATAGCAATCCAAAACAGTCCAGTGGAGCCTGAGCAGTGGGTGTTGCCTTCTGACACACTTCCGGTGATGTCAGGGGGTGTGGCATATGCAAATAAATTATACTAATAAGTTATGCTAATGAGCTCCTGCACCTCTTTTTCTACGAAATGACCCCTGGTCAACCCTAAAACTAACTGGCAACCAAAGCAGATGAAGCTAAGTGGGAGTAACATGTTCCGGGCAACCTGACCCTACCAGCAAAGTGGAAGCTGCGTTCTGAACAGTTGCTGTTTCCACACCCTTTTCAAAGACAACTCTATGTAGACCACATTATAGCAGCCAAGTCTGGCTGAGGCTAAGCGTACAATCCTAAGCATACCAATGACATCACAGCTGGAATCCCTGGACAGCCTCTCCAATATTCATGCAAATGTCAGATAGCCCTGCAAGCACAACACAAGGACCAAAACAACCACTGGACACTATGAACCGATCCTGCACCAGCCCCACTAAAAGGATTAAAAATGGCACCAGAGCAACATGTGAATAAATGCAATCTCCAACCCATCCAGCAGAGATTCATTACACTTTCTCAGACATTCTTCTTGCAGCTCAGCATATCTGACAGTGGCAGGCTGGGAAATTAAGCCATACTCAGCTAAGAGAACCCAGGGGGAAACAACTGAAAATTAGGAAGACTGATATTTAAAATACACAGTCTGCATTCTTGATAGGTTTGATGCTCCAAGGATCAGAGAGCTGTTAATATAGATCAAAAGCAGAACCGACACCACATGTGTAGGGAATGTGCTATACCAGATGCTCAGTGTTTGGATGCAGAGTACACATGTGGAGAATTTCAGTGTATATTATAAAGAATTATGAGATAACTAAGCTTGCATATAGAGATGAATTTCAACACAGCCATCTATACATAGTCATATCATTGACAAGAGCCAGCCACAGGGTCTAGCTACTATGGTTTACCAGAAAGGGGTTCTGCCCACATGAACCATCAAGGAAAACAAGGGATTCTTAAATTCTTATATCTTACAGTTCTGTACCGTAATAAAAACATTTTCATATGACGTTCTTTGGGGGGGCTGGGTAAATAGGAAAGGCAATACATAAATTATCCCCTGGAAATTTGGTGCCAGGGACTTAAGCCTCTAAGACTTAATACAATTCCTAGGAACAGGGAGAGTTTTTGCAATGTTTCATTTCTTTTTTCATGGATCATTCAGGTCTTCATTGGCTCCCAGGCAATTCTTTAGAATGGCTACAAATCACATCAGCCCCCTCAGCAGTGAACATTCCATCGCGCCAGGACTACTTGCATCTTCCAGATGTTCAATCCACCTCTAGTACATACAGCCTTTATTTAGAACATTTATATCATGCATCTCCATATAACTGCCTGAGGTGGATGAAACCCCTCAACTAATGTAAAGGATTAATCTCATGTATTCAGCACACCCTCAAGGCTATGATAAGTTATCAGCTCTTTGGCCAGAGCCAAATTTTCTTGATTCTGCTAATGGAAATAAATATGTGTATAGCCTTTGTTACCCCATCTTGGAGTTATATTAGTTCCTTACCTCTATTTGCTTGGGAGGATGGCTGGCAGGCCACTCCCAAAAGAATGTTTTCAGTCACACTCTCCCAAATTCTTATCTAGAAAGCTGACTTGTTTTCCTTTGCCACTGAATACCAGGTGCAAGATCTCTCAGTGTCTAAGATGTAGTTTTAATGATGCTATTCTTGACTTGCAGCCAGCAATTAGGGTATTTATTTATTTATTTAGATTTTTAAACCACCCTCCTCTGCAAAGCAGGGCTCAGGGCGGTGTCCATCAGTAAAAAACACTTATATATTAGTTTAATAATTTAAGAACAGTAAAAGTACAATAAAATACAATAAACAACCTGATAAGACGGCATTAAGCTACCGATTATGCCACTGCCTCATGAGGGTGGGGGGTGGGCAGGAGCACCAGACAGATATACGATGTTTAGTTTTAGCTATATATCTCATCTCGAGTTCTGGCTTGCTTCACAGTAGAGTATGTTTGCATTCAAGGCCCAGAGACTGAAGTAAGCCTGTTATTTCTGTAAGTTTGATACTTTATTAAAAACCTAAATCTTGCATATAGTTGCCTTGGGATTTCTGCGAACTTCAGAACTTTTGGCCAGTGTTCCAAACAACATGGCAATAGGAAAAGGCAAAATTAACAGCCGCAGTTTCAAGCCTACCTTTAAAAAACTGATTAATGACTCTTGGGGAACTGTGACCCCTTGGCTGACATCAGCCAAACCATATGAGAAGCTGCTTCACCCAAATATCTCTCCAACAAATGGAGCAACTATGCAGTTGCATAAGTGGCCACCCATACTGGTCAGTGCATGTGTGAATTGGGCCTCTGTTTAACCCATCATCTGCAAGTATTACAGTAATTGCACATACCTTCATTCTCATATCCCTGGCATATTTCTCCAACTCCTTCCTGATCTCTGACCGCATCATCTTTGACACGTTGAGCACCAACTGCTTCCACTCGATGGGCTGAAAGCTGTGCGGCTCATGAGGGACATACAATCCAATTTTTACTTTTTTTACCGAGTGCAAGTGCTTTTTATAGGAGTCTTCAAATTCAAAGATGAGGTCACTCAGCGTTCGGTAGATCAAAGGCTTGTCCATCAGTTCAGACCTTCTGCTCATGCCCAGTGATCCATATCGGCCATTGCAATAAATTCCAAGCACCACATGATGAAAATTGTTCCCTGAGAAGTGGGATTTAAAGCTGATGGGGAATCGTTCCACAGAAGGTTGCCCGTTGGTTAAGTATCTTGGGTGGCTGATGTCAAGGTAACAACAACAAAAAAGGTGTCAAACAAGGGAAACAGGCCATGGCCATTTGGACTCTTCCTATGTCAGAATATATGACACCAGCCTTGATCTTCCCCTGAAAAAAAGAATCAAGACTACTCAATACACATTAAACTTCCCTTCACTCTGCCTCCATTAAATTGAGGCTACTGTCATTCTTATATTCTTCAGAATTAAAGAATGAAGCAGGTAAAGATCACACTGTTTCGATGATACAAGAATATTTTTATTTGGATTTGATTTTTTTTTCCAGAGTCCCAAACCATCAAGTTGACTTAAACAGTCTAAAGGAACTCTTCCCACCCACAGCATGTGGTTAATTAATTTGCAGCTGAAGGTCCAAGCTATTATGAAACATAGTGCTCAATCTCATTCAGAACCCAAATTACTCTAGGAGTTCAGACATTTCCGCCTCTCTAGCCTCAAACTCCTTCACAGAAGCGAAACAATAGGATGCATATAATCAAAATGGCATGGAACCCAACTGTGAGAAATTTGCCTTATATTCTCACATTCTCACACAAATATGAGTAGTTATTCTTTCTGCTTTCCTCATGTGCATGACAGCTACAGAGAACCTGAAGCACTTTTCAACAGACCGTTGCTCAGAACAACATTTTTGTGAGCATCAATTGTTTTAGATATATGCCAGTTTGGTGTCCCAAAGTACCATTTCAGCATTCGTTTCTTATTATTTATTTGTTGTAAATGTAACAATCTTCACAATTTTCCCCAATCTCAATTTGGTTCTATTGCAACTTTAAGAGAAGCAGAGGGGACCCCAGCTTTAGACAACCAAGGGACTAAAAGGATAACCCACAACTGTACACACACATCTCCCTACATCTGCCATCTATAGATCTACATCTTAAATCAGAAACAAAACCATTCCAGTACTTGGGTTCAAAGTCTCAAGATACAATTACTTATTACTAACATACTTATACATACACCACCTGTAAATGGAAGTAATACCTGTGTAAATCAACTATCAATGGAGTTTATCTAGAGAATGCAGTGATCTTAAAATTAAAGTGTCTTTATTGAAGTTGCCAGGTGGGAACCGCAGTACTCTTGGATTATGCTAAGAGTGAAGTAAATGTAGAGCTAGGCTTGCCAAATCCCCCCGGGGGGCGGGGAAACCCCCGCCCCAGAGGCCCATTCCCCGCCGCCGGCGGATCGGGCCCCAGGGGGAACCCCACCCCGGCGTGCATGTCACCAGGAAGTGACTTTATGACGCCGGGCACGCTGGGGGCGGGGCCACGGTCATCCGAGGGAAAACTCTATGGTTTCCCCAGCACCACATGCTGTGGCCCCCATCCTGCTCACAAAAAGACCCTTTAAAGGGTCTTTTTGCAAGCCAGGCATGTGGCCCGCAACTGCCCCTCTCCCTCCTTCCTGCTAGATTTAAAGGGCCCTCCAGCTGGTTAGCAGGCCACGTGGTCCCTGCTGATCAGCTGAAGCCCTTTAAAATGGGCAGGAGGGGAGGGAGAGGGGAGGCCAGGTGGGTGGTCACTCTTGGGGGCGGGGCTTGGGGCATTCCCACCCACCCCGGAATGTCACCCTGGCAACCCTAGTTGCAGTTAGGACCTAGTGAAGGAAGAGTAGGAAATGTCTGCATCCTCCACACCAGGGTGGTTTTCCACATGAAGACTCATTCTTGCTGGTATAATCTTAATATGGTTTCATTTTTAGGATAACAACTTTTCAGATTAGTTTTACAGTTATATAAAAAAATTACTGATTCGGTTATACTATTAGAAACATGCCATAGATAGATAATTATGAAATCATTGCGAGGTGAGCTATCGCCAGTTTCATAGGTTAATCATTCATATTTGGACAACTTTTCTGCTGTGCTTTATTGGAAGAAGAAAAATAATCATTACCTTAATAATAACAATAATAACAATAACATTATAGCATATGTATTCTTGTATTTGCTTAAACATCCATGTTTGTTAATTGATGTGGTAAATAAAATATCTTAAAAAAAACAAAAACCCTTAGACTATCAGCCTGGTCCATATGAAAAACTTAAAATATTGTCGTCTGTAGTTCACCCATCTTCCTCTTCTTGTTTGTTCATAACCTGGAAAAGAAAAACAAGCTTTCCGGCTTCCGGTCGAGCTAAGATGGAGGACTGACACACTTTCACTTTTGTGCGAAGTGGGCGACGGCCGCTCGGCTAAACAAAATATCTTAAAAAAACAAAAACCCATAGACTATCAGCCAGGTCCATATGAAAAACTTAAAATACTGTCGTCTGTAGTTCACTCATCTTCCTCTTCTTGTTTGTTCATAATCTGAAAAAGAAAAACAAGCTTTCCTGCTTTATCAAATCCCAAACGATTTCTCAATTTAGAATGAATGAGTCCAAAGGAAGAGAATATTTTTTCTATGTCAGCAGAAGAAGCTATTGCTGTTAAAAGTGTAATCATTACTTTAACACTCTCTAAATACAAGTGCTTAAGAGACTTCCACCAGTTCACTGGTGTGACTTTCTTTAAAACATCATCAGTAAACATATATTTCTTGAATGGTTCCCCCCTAGCTCTGAAGTTTATTATAGTTGGCATTGTTATTATTGTTGGCACAGTCGAGTCCGACTCTTTGCGACCCCATGGACCAGATCACGCCAGGCCTTCTGGTCTTCCGCCGTCCTCTGAAGTTTGCTCAACTTCATGTTCGTTGCATCTATGCCACTGTCTAACCATCTCATCCTTTGCGGTCCCCGTCTTCTTTGACCTTCAATCTTTCCCAGCATCAGGGTCTTCTCCAGTGAGTGCTCCCTTCTCATTTGGTGGCCAAAGTATTTGAGCTTCAGTTTCATTATCTGGCCTTCCAGGGAACAGTCAGGGTTGATATCTTTTAGGATTGACTGATTTGATCTTCTTGCAGTCCAAGGGACTCTCAAGAGTCTTCTCCAGCACCATAGTTCAAAAGAATCTATTCTTCAGCACTCGGCCTTCCTTACAGTCCAATTCTCGCAGCCATACAGTACTACTGGGAATACCATTGCTTTGACCATACGGACTTTTGTTGACAGGGTGATGTCTCTACTTTTTATTATGCTGTCCAGGTTTGCCATCACTTTCCTCCCAAGGAGCAGGCATCTTTTAATTTCATGGCTGCTGTCACAGTCTGCAGTGATCTTGGATCCCAGGAACGTGAAGTCACCAAAAAAGCCCTGCTTATCATCAACAAAATTGCACCTTCAGTTCTTGTTAGTGCTCCCAGTGCCTTATAAATTCTGGAATGTGGTTACTCCCAAGGGCATTCAGAAATACCAGCCTGGATGAAAGATGAGGGTTGTCACAAATACCACGCCCTAGTCTAGATAGCCATTCAGCACACAGTGAATGGAGCATTGTACCCTATTCACTGTGCAGGGGATGGCAATCTAGTGAAGCAAACAATTGCTGCTTCACCTGGTCATCATACAAAAACACACTGCTCCTCTTCCCAGCAGCACACACAAAGGACTCAGTCACCCATTATTAAAATAATACACCAGAAGCCTGTTTTAAAAATCAGATGAAGGAAAGGAGCTATGCTTTAAAGCTTTCAAAGGCCAACAAAGGGCCCTTAGCTAAAAAGCAGAAGAAGAAGAGTTAAAGAGCAGGGTAACTAAAAGGAGGCTAAAAGTGTGACAAGAGGAAGACTGCTAATCAGGAACAACCTGGCAGAGAGGACACCAAAATAAGCTACATATTTACAAGTTTGTCAAAAAGGATGAAGGCCGCTTTCCTGAAATTACAGCAATACTAGAGAATACAAATTAGTACTAAAAACCAATCCAAAATTATACTTTACAGGATGCTCATCATCTGGGATGAGGAGTGGGGAAGAGAATATTCTAGTAAAGGGAGGAGAGTGTGAAAGACAGCACATGTAGATCCAACGCTTCACATGAAGCATCTGTGTTCATTGTTCTTTTATAATTTACATGACACTTAATATTGAGGGCTTTATCTTCATTATCTTCAGACACTGTTTTGAGAGGGATGATTATCTTAACTAGTTAAATATGAGGAATGCAATCTATAGCACCCAGTGACTTGTTCAGGGTCAGGCATGGCCAAAATAGACACTGGGAGATGCACAAATGGGTTGGACCCAATGCTCCCTCTAAGCTGTGGAGTCTTGTGAGCAAAAATGCTACTTTGTGAGCTACTGGCATTAAACTTGTGAGCAAGCGATTTGGCTACTGCATAAATTAGTTTGCTCTGGAGCCATCCCTCCTGAGCTAAGACAAAAATGTGTGAGCTGGAGGCTAAAAAACTGTGAGCTAGCTCTCACTAACTCAGCTTAGAGGGAACACTGGGTTGGACCTCGGTTTATAAAAGTAACTTCTAGGTGCAGGGATCTCATTTCTGCCTGAGGCCACAGCACAGGGAGGATGTAGTTTTAACTGTTTCCACTGCATGTTTTTGCCTACCAAAACTGACACCTCCTTCAGGCTGTTACTATCCTGGAAGGGAGAAGATAGGTATCTCTTTGGCAGCTTGAGGTGGTGACTTCATTCAAAATGGCAAAACTGTGCAGAGGGCTGCACACACACACACACACACACCAGCACCTGTGCCATAGCTGGGCCCCAGTCTGAATTAGTGCCCAGAATCAATCTTGCTCCAAATTACCTTTAAAAAACTTTGGGCTGATCATGGCATTTAGTATCCAAGATTTCTCAATGCCTTTTGTCTAATTTGACCATTAGCATCAAACCCAAGACACAATGTAGGTGGTAGAAATAGATGAGGGGAAACCCTCAGGGCCAGCAGTAAGGTTGCCAACCTCCAGGTGGTGAATGGAGATCTCCTGCTATTATAACTGATCTCCGAGCAACAGAGATCACCTGGAGAAAATGGCTGTTCTGGAGGTTAGACTCCATCCCATTATACCCCACTGAATTTCCTCCCCTCCCCAAACCTTGCTCTCCTCAAGCTCCACCTGCAA